GTTTAAATCTCTCACCTCTGTTTACAAGAGAACAAGGTGGCAGATGAAGGTTCGCTACTTGGCATTCCAGAATATTTTCTTCTTTAGCAATTGTTTCAGTGTATCCTTGTTAAACAAAGAATGAACAGGCTCAAACATAAGTGGAACAATTTACTTTCTACTGTATTTGATAGGCATGAATGAGTAATGCTTTTAACTCTCTGATACTCAAAAGGCTAAAGCAACCAAGATACATTAAGATAAGAAAATCAAATGAAAGCACTAAAAGATGGTTTCCAAATGGAAGACTCTAACTATGTTGGCTTTCAAAACTACCAGCCTGTGACCACAAAAGAAATCTTATACTCTGTGACAAAAGCAACTTCAGGAGGAAAAAAAATTAAAAAAAAAATCTATGCAGCTGGGCAAGAGCCACCAATTTGGATGTGCAAGCACTGAATCCCATTGCTATGACCGAATAACAGGCAAACAATCTCCAATCTAAGATTAAAGTATCAAGTGCATGCTTTTAGGAGCCCAAGGCCTAAATCATAAAAGGTTTTCAAGTACTTAAAAGAGGTATCAAGATTTTCAGAAGTGTCCATAAGCCCAACTTCCTTTAGAAAAAAACCAACCATGCCCTGTGGAACACCACTGGGAAACCAGCAGGTAAGGAATGTGCTAATGTGTACCATCCAAAGGCGATGTCTTAGTCCCCAGGAACTCAGGACTTAAGTTGTCCAAAATAGGGAAGTTTGCTCCAGGACACTGCCATTTAAGCCCCTGCATAATAAAATGGTCCTTTTGATAAAATGTTCCAAGACAGACCAAATGATGTCTTTTTTTCAGATGCTACTGCAGCAAGAGTACCAAATAATTCTATTTTGGAATTATATTGTTAAGGCTTTGTGTTCACAGAATACACCAACCTAAGCAAATTAGGGACTTAGGGAGGTCTTCAAAGCAGGGTCAACTTTAAAATTCGACCACATCCCTCAGGCCATGTCCAGCTGAGTTTTGCATGTCTCCAGGGAAGGAGACTCTACAGCCTCTTGGGCAACCTTCAGTGCACTATTCTCCCCAGGAGGAACTTGTCCCTTATATCTAATTGTAATTTCCCATCCTGCAAATTTTGACTGTTGTCTCTTGGCCTTCCAGTGCCTACTTCTGAGAAGTTATGTTTTTCATAACCTCTTTACTGCAAAAGGTGCGCTGCCGACTCATGTTCAGCTTGTTTTCCATCGGGACCCCCAGGTCCTTTTCTGCAGACCTGTTCCCCGTATCTCGTGCTGTTGAATGGTGTTATTCTCACAACTGCAGGAATCTGGATTTACCTTTGTTGCGCTTGATGAGGTCCCTGTCGACCTATTCCTCTAGCCCAGCCAGGTCCCTCTGAAGGGAAGCTCTGCTCACCAGACCATCAACTGCTGTCCCCCCCAGTTTGTGTCATCTGCAGACGCAGTGAGGGTGCAATTCTCCTCCTTCACCCAGACTGTGTAATCCAATCCTGTCCTACTGCTTTGTTGTTCTGCAACATTATCTGAATTAACTTGTTCTTCATCATTTGCCATTCGAATAGCTCACGGGAATGCTGCTCCATTCATCTAATGTTAGAATAAGCAGCACTGTGGTAGAGAGAAATGTCTAAAAAAATTCCTGGGCCAAATCCTTATCCAGTGCAAATTCCTTGCATTTCTAATCAGCTTATACTAGACAGAGATCCAGACTATTCATTCAAAAGCCAGAGTGCCAGTAATGTGTTTAAAAATCAGCAGGTCGTTTATTATAACTAGATCTCAATGCTGTATGTATTAGTTCACTGTTGGCACAAACATCTCCTCGAGGAGCACAAGGAACTGGGCTACTTCTGCCTCACCGCTGAGTTAGAACAAGCAAACAAAAACATGCCGAGTGTTTCTATGCTTAGAAATATTTGTGCTTTTGAAGAAAGAATTCCTATTATTTGAATGCTTTTATTACCAGTTGAGCCTTCCTAATCTCTAGATACCTCTTGGGCTTAGAAAAATATGCATTTTTGCAAGAAAATATTTTTTTATAATCCTTAAAATAAATTTCTTACACAACAGCATAATCTAAAAAATACTCACAATGGGAGCAAAGTTAGGAAAACACTACCATCCATTAAAACCCCACCCTCCTGCGGTCCTTCACTATTAGGCGAGGCCTTCATTGCAGCCTCCCTTAATTTGACCCAAGGAGCTAATACCATTCACTTGAGTTCATTTTTTATGACAGGAACACTCAATATAGGAGACTTCCCTTGGAAGAGGGAATCAGAGACAAACAACAGCGCCTTCTCCATGACATCTCTGTTGGATCATTCAAAGTTCACAACAAACTCTGTTTCACAAAAAGGAGCCCGCTTCAAGTCAACTTGCAAGAGGGCTGTTAAATAAATCTAGCTCATGCTGATTTAGTCACCTTACTGCTCCTAAGTAGACCAGGAAATCAGAAGCATCACGTGTGAGATATTCTAACCATACTGGACACGGTAAGACCGCTTTCAGGTTTGACAGTTGATATAAAACACAACGGTTCTAGGTCTCCTTTCACTGACACCACCTGGACCTTGCCCACAGCCATCACACCCAGGAGCTTGTTCTGATTTGCAGCAGTGAGAGCAAGGCGATCGGGATAAAACTGGAATATTAGAACATGGATTTTTTCTTAGAAGATTTTCTTGGATAAATCACTCCACAGTTTGGGTAACACATGGGCTTAGCAATGCTATCACCTTCACCATTTCTGTAGGTTCAATCCAGCCCTTCCACAAGTGACACTGCCTGTGCGGGGTGAAAACAGAAGATCAGCTGGCAACCAGTTCTGCTCGGAGAGAGCCCTTGCTTCCTAGAGATCCGTGAGCAGCCATGGATAGCCTCTAGCGAATGTGAAATGGAGCTCAAGAAAAAGGTGAAATCTAACCTCAGTACCTGCTTCCAGTATTCCCAGTGTTCCCAGTGTTGCCCCCAAAAGCTTGAAAATACCAAGATATGCTAAGTGGCTCCTCTACTAACAGATGTGTGTGTGTCTGTGTGTCTAATCCCAGCCTGTTCCCATGCAAACCTATAAACCCATGTAGTCTTGGGCTCCCTGAGTCCCGGGGCTTGCCCAAGCCTGAAATCTGCTGAATGTGCAAGTCAGCAACTAAGTTACAATCATCTTCTTCCTCTGCCACAAGAGGAAATAACGATAAACTCCTTTTCCAGGCAAAGCTACTTATTTCCAGCAATTCTGTAATGCAGAAGGAAAGGGACGGGGAGGAGGGGAAGCGGCTGGCAGGGAAGGCAACAGTTTGTGCTCGTCGCTGAACTTCCCATATGGTTTGAATGCGTAAATGAGCTGTTGCCTCTGTTTTTTCAGTAGGTGTAATCCTATTAAGATGCTGCTAATTTAATTGTTTAAAAAACTACCAATCCCTAATAAATGTAAGATGGCCTACAAAGGAGTCCTTCCTGCAGACACGCATGTTTAACATCGTGCAGCAATCAGCAGGATCAGCCTGGTCCCCCTTATCGCTTTTCGGGTGCGGGTTTGAAGCAGATCTTGTTTATTGTTCTTTTTGGCAAAGCCCTGTGAGATCTTTGAAGTGGTTGGGCTCCTTGAGCCATTAGGCACTGGGCTGCACCTGGTGTGAGGCAGACGGAGCAGCTCCGGTGTTAAACAAACAGCGATCCCAGCTGAGGAGAGCATATGAGTTATGGATCATGGCAGCCAGGACAGGCACGATCCATCCAAAGCAAACTATATGTTGTCTTAAAAAAGCAATTTGGAGCTGCATTTGCTATTCAGACCAGTCCGATGTGTTTAAACAAAGACTCTAATTTCTAATACACACACACACACACACACACACACACACACGTAATATATATCTAAGAATTCCTTATAGGATGTGTCCAGATGAGTATCCCTCCAACTCGCTGCTCCTTCTTCTGGACTCATTATGCTTTTTATTATCTTTAGTATTGCTATCATGCCTTGCTATACCCCAGGCTTAAAACAGCACACATTTGAGGTTCTTTTTTCCTTACAATCAAATCAATACCACTTGCTGGTAATCAAGCGACAAGCACATCAAAGTATTTAAGAACGTAGCACCATTTCCAAAATAAACAACATGTATAAGAATTTGGTAAATGATTTTTTTTAAAAAGTTGTCTTTAATGAGGAACTTCCTGCTACTTCTGTTTTTGCTTTAAGATTAAAATTTCTTTCTTCTTTTCTTGTCACATTCTCAAGTTAAAAGCACAATAGATTTATTTAAATATAAAACTTGCCAAAAGTCCAATATTGTTAATCACGAAATTTTATTGAACTATCTCTTCTTCTTAATAGTAATTAACACAAAGCTACGTTAGTTTAATAATTCAGGTGAGTCTTTATTCAGTCCTGTTATTACTCAGTCAAAAAAAATCAACCTCATGAATTTTTGCCTGAACATCAACTTCAGGATCTGGCCTTTGGAAACTAAGGTTTCCTTTACAATGAATTCTATCTGCCTTTCTCCAGCTTATTCTACTGCTCTTTGAGAAAATCTGTAGCACAGTGATCATGGATCACACAGCCAAAGGGGAGGCTGAATAAGACAACAGACCAGAAACCAGTAAGACAACGGACCAGAAGGTCCATGTGTTTGCAGGATAAACTGAGCTTTTTAATAATACGCAGGTTATTCACAGAGGGTGTTTTTTTATAGGAATTAAAAAAACAAGTTTCCACCCACCCCGTTCCAACTTTCAATATCCTGTCTAATCATCCAAAACTAATGGGTTTCATCAGTATCTTTGTAAAACACCATTTGGTCAGACGTTTGCCAGGTTTTGGCTATTCTTTGTTAGTTAAATTGCTTACATACTAGTGTTTTGAAATAAAATACAATGTATAATGTTATTCCTTTCTTCTCTCTTCTTTCATTGCTATTACTTGGGCGCAGGAATATCTCAGATGGTGAACAAACAGGGCAAAGACTTGCAAAGCCATCAAGCAAATATCATTCCTACCTCCAGTCTGGTCCTGTCCACATCCTTAGGCAATTTCACACGAACTCGGTTTGTTACAATAAGTGTTTCATACGGATAAATCTGTTAAAAAGACAAGAGCATATGAACTCCAGCCAAATGTGATTCTGATGTGTAGAAATGACTGTGGGGAACTTACTAATTTAAATGGTACATACTTGCATCCTGATTTGACAAATATTTCACTGGGACAAAAATTAACAAACTAAAATAAAAAAAGGAACACATGTAACCTTGCTAGGAAGTGCTGAATCTGATTGTTCTTCCAGTGTTGGAAAAGCCCTTCTTACCTTGTATTCTGCAAGAGAATGAGAACAGGTTCACAGTTTAGAATTTATAGGCTTCTTCTGAAGTCACCATAATGAACATCTAGGTACATCAGCAATTTGTTACGCTATTATATTTCTCTTACAGTTTTCAATAGATGTGGGGTAACTGCACGCACAGAAAACATTTGACCCCCATGCTCTGAATGCCTACAATGCTGTCTATTACTGAAGCAGCAGTCCTCCAAATCAAAGGCTTATTACAGAAAATCCACCTCCTTAATGCCACTGGGTTACACAGTGAGTATGTCTGGCAAAATTGGGGATTTCTTTTTCCAGGAGGCTTCTGTGCAGAGTTAAGTTAGTCTGTCATCCAAAAATCCTGCTCTTACTGTTCTTTACTGAAAATAGTTAAATATATGGATTATTACAGGTGTGTCAGTTTGGGAATGTATGTGAAAAACATTGAGTTAATACAATATTCCAAGATTCCAACATCTTGCAGTTGGGCTTACTTCAGTGAGAATAATGATAGTGAAGAAAAGGTGATTTGGGAGTGTGGGGACAATGATTCCTGGATTTAAACTAGAACAAAAGTATTCTAGCTAGGTCAGTATATGACTATCTATGGCTACCACAAGGTCATCTATTCACATCAATGATTAATTGCAACCAGGATAACCAGTATGTTTTCATAGACCTTTTTATGGTCTGAAATGAAATCAGAGATAGGTCTGCTTTTCAAAATCTGTACTTTAAACTACACAAACACAGAGACAAAAATTTGTATCAACACAGAGGCATGAACTGGAGCGTTAGAGTAAGATTTTTAAAACGAGATTAAGTGTCTTGGAAACAAAATCCTGCTCTTCCTCATGAGTAGATGCATGTTCCTAAATTGCTCAGCTCTTTTCAAAATTCCAACCCAAGTTCCATATTAAGTTCACAGTCCACTTAAACTGTAATAAAAAAAATGAATGCAAATAAATTCTGTGTTTTGACTTCTGTACATTTTAACCACACTGTAGCACACACAAGAAGCACAATGGACTTTTTTATTAGATACATCTTGAAGCAGTGATTATCTTAAATTTCTTCTCTTTGATATGAGACCACCACCTGCTAAGCAAAGAGAACCAGAGGCTGTTGCCACATATTGAGGATACTGGGATTGACTCAATGTGGTTGCACCACTTTGTGATGCAGGATTTCAGCCAGGCCTTTATGTTCGGCCAGATAAAAAGAAGAATCTCTCTGATAAACATGACACTGAGCTGGGTCTCTGTCTAGTCATTATTACATGAACTATGGGAAGATCTCAGGATAGTAACCCTTTATGGAAGATGTTGATGAGCATCCTCAAAGGAAGAAAGCATGAATTGGAATGGAAATGATATTGTAATGTACCTTTCATCCCCCAGCTCGTCTCCTGGTCCGTTTCGTATTGGCCCATATTTTCAGGCTGAAAGAGAAAGAAAGAAGCAATATAACAGCAAAATACACCGCAAAATCATGCTGCACATTGTTGAGAGAAAAAAGAAAACCAGTTGATACCACACAATTAATATATAGATCCTTGCAAGAGAGGAATAGAATAAAGTCTCATTCAGACTTGGCCCAGTTGCTCAAGGCAGGAGTCCCGAGGGCTCATAACACCCACGGGTGCGCGAGGGCAGAGATGGAGCTCTGCTGGCGGGCGAGGATGGAGTGTCAGGTGAATGCCTGGGTCCTTGGAGGCACAGCAGGTGCAGCCTGCTGCCTACGCTGTGAACTCCCATAGACCAGCGAAAGCTGGAGCTTGGATGTCACTCAGAGAGGCGACTGCAGTGTCGTATCAGCCCACCTCACCCTAAGCCCTTGGGACTTTTTGAGCTGATTCCTCACAGCTTTCAATGAGGCAGAAAGGTGTCAGAAAGCCACCAGCCACCCCCATTTGAAGACCCGGCAGCAAGGTTAGATTGAAATTGTCACACGCCTTTCCCTGCGATGCAGACGTCTCACTGCTGTCGTCACAAATCACTTATGCTGCATTGAAATTGGTCTCATTCTGCTTTCTGCTTCACTAAGACCAGGGAGCTCTGTGTGTATGTGCCATAGCTTTGTTTGACCCACTGTCTTTTTCTTTTGCTGGCAAATGCTATGATGAAAAACATTACAGGAGATCAGAAAAGCATTATATATGGCTTTCTTCCCCCCAAGTCTCATTTTTGCCTGTTAGGGTATCAGCGGTGTGCACAGCTACGCTCACAATAACCTGCAAGGCTCCTTACTGTTTGGTTTTGGTTTCCTTTGTTATGTAGTGCTGGGATGGCTGATTAAAAATAACAAACCACAAAAGCTGGTATGAACCTGCAATCCAAACAGAGGATATCCATTCTGAGAAAAATTTTGGCCTCAAGGATTTGACCATGAGCAACCTTTTCAACTTTCCTAGTTTTTGCCTGTGAGGTTGGACCTTTAGGTGGGACAAACGCTGCCATCTGCTGCTTTTATATTACATTGCATGGCTTCATCCCACTGCTGGTGGAGTTTGCTTTGGCCTCATCTGTGTGAAACCTTCTGATGGCTTTGGTGCCACACCAGCGCAGTGGCTGGGCGCAAGTCGGTCCCTCGCTCACTTCAGGTTACTGCTAAGAGTTCTTCTGAAACATCAGAAAAAAGCTGTTGGTGCATAGGTGGGGACAGGTTTATCTAGGCCCTTTCAAACTCCTAAATCTCATTTGATCAAGTTGCAGTGCCACTGGTTCCTTCAGAGAGGAATTCAAGAAGTCGGGTATTGAAGCAATGCAGGCACAATTTTAACTTGGTGTAGACAATGTTAATTGTCTGTAATGTTAACTCAAAGGGATGGACATTTCAGTAGCTACGGAAAATTTCATTTAGCTGCTCTCTGACAAATTGCTCTCTTGTAGCTCCTTCCAGTGACCTGCAGTTTGACTCTTAGCACTGGGGAAGTTTAAACCTGCTTATGCACTTTGCAGTGTTCACATCTTCCTTTGGAGAAAGGAGAGAATTTGAATGAGGTCCTGTCCATGTAATTTAGACTCCAATCAATCTTCAAAATGTAAGCTCATGTGCATCTATGTATTACTAACTTATCATTATTAACCACCATGGGTTTGTACCTAAAAATATAAGCTGTGAACTAAGAATCTGTAATGCTAGATGCCAGAGAGAGAGACCACAGTGTCAAAGACTCCTTTTTTCCTAAAGACTTACAAAAATTATAAAAAAGGATTAGAAAAGGAATCTCTAGTTTGATCTGACCATAATTTTATTAAGCATTTTGCTTTCTGGATTGCTGCCTGCCATTCTTGCTCCCTCACTGCCTTAAAAATACAATGACTCTGTGCGTGTGTATATATATGTATTTGTATATGTATATACACATGCATACTGGAAAACAACAGAACAGATGGTTCAACAAATGCAATGGATGTGGGCTGCTCTAAGATCATTACTTGCTCATTACTTGCCTAATTATAGGCCTAACCCTCTCTATCATTAATTTAAGCTATACTGTGACCTATTAATATGTGCAGCCTGTACATTTTGGACTTTTGTTTGTTTTGAGAGGAGAATTGAGATTCCTAACGCTCATGATGCACACAATTAAAAGGAGAAGCCTCAGTCTGTCTTACTCTTGCAGACAAACTGTAACCCACATAGGGTATGAATCTGTTAGACAGGGCTGGCAGCCAAAACACCTCTGAAGTGTTATTACTGTGTAGATTTTCAACTAGTTACTAAGCTGCCTATTTATGATACACTACTGCCTGGAGAATCCATTTAAATGTATACCTACCTGATGTAAGCCATTCTTTCCATAGCCAGGTAGAGAAGCAGATTTAGAATATGGAAATCCTGTAAAAGACATAACACACAGCTATATTTTTTTTGTAAATCCTTTACAGCCTACTAAACCACATAATTCAAGACAACAACCAGAAACAGCAATTACAAGATCAATATGTACATTCTACTAACAGGATGAAATATAACTGAGCAACGCTCATCTTTTCTCCATATTTAATGCACATGAACATGTGTAACAACGTCTATAAATAACAGCATGCCAGGATGCAATCACCTTACTGGGCACGACATGAAGAGAGTTGTGGGATGCATTTTACGGAAATCTTACGCAGCTATGTGATGCAAAGCTTGTGAAATCTCTGCCCTTCAGCTTGGTGTTAAACCATGACTTGAAAATGAGATTAAAGGTACCATCATTTTAGAGTTACATCACTTCTGATCATGCTGCATGTGGTCTGCTTTTGGGTTTGTTTCTTAAAAAAGAAGGGTTGGTGTCCAACCACTTAAAAAAAAAAAAAACCAGAAAATTTTTTTTGCTTTCTTTAAAACTTCTTCTACTCCTTCAAGTGGAAAAAAGCATAAATGAAGATCTGGCAATGGATAAAGTAAATCAGTGAGAGTATAAACACTCAAGAGAAAGAAAGTTTTAAGATAGACAAAATTGGCAAAGTGGTGTCACCATGAACAAACTGGATGCAATATGGTGATGAAACGGTGTGTGGTCACTAGAAACAACTGAAGAACCTTGCTTTTAATATTGAGAGTCTAATAAGAAAGTTTGGAAGTTCCTTTTGGCAGTGAAAGGACAAAAAGTGTCTCAGATTAGTTTTTATAATGCTGTATAAAAGTGACAAGCTGAATCAGTTTAAATTAAACTGAAGATGAACAAACACCACGTGTAATAAACATTCTTGATTCCAGTACAAAAAACTTAGATAAATTGATGCAAAGAGTTACAGAAGTCAGCTCAAAGAACTGAATGTACAATGCTTCTTTCTGTCAAAAATGTTAGCAATCTGTGTCCAAAGCGGAATGCAGGAAGGGAATCCAGACCCCACTGGATTAATAAATACCCTAAGGAGATGATTAGGAATAAGCATACAGAAAGAAAAAACAAAAGATGGATCAGCAAAGAGCTCACGATGTGCTGAGATAAAGCGAGAACTGCCAGAAGTCAAGCTGAGTTAAACACTGAAAATGATATTAAAACAAATAGTAAAAAGTTCCCCAGCTATCCAAATAAAAAGAGAACAAGGGAAGAAGAAATGGGATCACTGGGAGTTACCCTATGTCAGTACACAGCAGAGGTGAAAGGTAACCTAGGTAGGGCTCCGATACTGAAGGAGACTCTGTTTTTATGAACAAAAGGTAGAGTACTGAGCAAGGAGGAACGCTAACGGAATAAGGGTACGCCAATGAATCACAGTCGTGAAGGAAACGTAATTCAAAGCACTTAACGTACTTAAAAAGGGAGCAATAAGTTCACATCAAATTGCAAGTCCGATACCTCTTACCACTGGAGAACAGCAACTATAGTTTTTATATTTAAGAGGGGGAAAAGATAATGAGGAGCTACCAGTTTGCTTCCAGCAGAAAACTTAAGGAAAGACTGAAGAAAAGCATTGAAGTAAACAGAAAATCAATTCTATTTACGTGCATTTTAATTGATTTGACATAAGTTAAAGACACAGTGCCAGACTTGCTTGGTAGCTTTCTTTGTTAAGAGAAATGACTTCTGCAAAACATAAATTTTATTGGATCTCATCTAATGTGATATCATTACAGTGTTTGGTATTTAGCTGCACATGGAATTAAGCGCAAATCTGGAGAAGATGGAGTTTATCAGAGGAATTATAGGGACAGTAAGGAAATAATGAAACGTAAGAAATGGGTAGTGAGAACTAAGCAGAGCTGACAGAGAAAAGTGTCAGCATGGACTGGTGTTGAGTTAAAATTGCCTCATGTTTTCACTAATAATCTGGACACCAAAAATAGTAATGACCTAATAAACTTTGCTGTCTACACCAAGTTATAAAGCACTGCCAATATAGGGGAGGATTGGGATATCATAAAGAACTGGGATAACCTTGAACATTACAGTAATAGAAATGGGATAAAATTTAGTAATTCATGGGAAAAGTCATGCACTTGGGGACTAATAAATACCCCAAACTTCTACTACTTAAGCTGAGAGCTCATAATTTGGAAATGTTGGGGAAGGAGTCAGGCTTAGATATACAGCTCAATCACAAGATGACTTTGAGTTGCTAATATAAGTGTAAAAAAACCCCACAGGTTGGAAATATCTGTCCCGATACATATAAGATATGAAAATAACGGTGTTTTCAGGCAGTGACAGGAGATCCCAGAGGAATCCTTTGTGCTGTTCTTGTTCCATCAGTATTCAAGTGGGTTAAATTAACTCTACCAGACCAGTGGCCTACAGGATAACTGGGGCAATCAAAGGTCATTGCATGAAAGAAGGCTTGATAAACTTGCCTTATTTAGGCTAGTAAAATGAAGGTGATCTATGAAAGCAAGAGGTGATTTCAGAAACAGCATCTGAGGAGTGGTATAAACTACGAGCAGAACTTTGTTTTCAGCACTGCAGGGGGTTTCCACGTCTCACACAGGGGTGTAGTGATGAACACTGAATTAGATGGATCACTTAGCTACTCCAGTTTGGAACCTAGAAACTTATCATTGCTTGTTATCTGGATGGTAGTGACACCGGAGGGCAAAGAGTATAATACCTGTGAGATAGAATGAATGCATCTGCAACAAAACTCTCAGCTCTGCTCCTGCCTGGAAAAAGATGCTGGTGTTGAACATCAGCGTGGAGTTCCATTTCTTGGCCTCTTGGCTACAGAGAAGATGGGCGAGAGAGTTTTGTTCTGTCGCCAAATACTACTACTCAGTTACCAAGGCAAAATGCAGGAGGGTGAAGCCTGCAGACACACACAATTCAGTTCTGCAGTGCTGCCTCCCAGGCCGCCGGGACAGAGCCACATCTGCGGGCCCAAGCGACATCGTGTGGCCGGCTGGAAAAAATCCAAGAGAAGAATAAAGCCGAAATAGCCGCCAAACAAGCTAGCAAACCCCACCGTCTGCAGTGGGGACTCTATTTCACTCAGCTTCTGTTTCCCATGAACTTAGTTACAAAGTTAAACACGCTTTATTTTGCTTCTTTTTTTAATATAAAGGAAAAATATAACGGTAAAAGCCAGCAACCACATACTGCTTATTATCATATCCAGCTGCAGTTCTACCGTTGCAGTAAATTTTCTGGAGTAAGTGGCCAAGATAAAGCAATCTTTCTCTCTAATTAGGGACTATCTGAGCATCGGCTACTCTCTGCATGGATAGGGCTCCTGCTTTTTCCAGTACAACATCCACTCTAACCTAGATGTTCTGAGGCTGCCTCTCAGCACATCAGGGACACACGAACAGCAAGGGTTGCGCACCCTGCTAGATGTCTGCTTTCCTAAACATGTGACACTTAAAATCATGAATTATGGTAAATGACTAACTATTAAACATCTATATATACAGAAACAAGACCCATTTACACAGGTGGATGTAAGGAGATGCAAGCTCCACTCTAGATGCCTGCTGGTTACACAAGCCTCATGCTGACATGCTCTGTTGTTAGGTGTATTCTGGGCGTATAGCTAACGCAATGTAGCTAAATAGCTTCTAGAGCAGAATAACTCATCTCTGGTTTGCTCAGCAGAGGCTGAACAGATGAACGCAGGGCTCTTTGCACAGTATGGCTGGACACATCACCAGAGATTCACAGTCTGATGCCTCCTAACCCCCTCCACTCTGCATGTAACCATAGAATCATAGAATGCTTTGGGTTGGAAGGGACCCCTAGAGGTCTTCCTGTCCAACCCCCCTGCAGTGAGCAGGGACACTGCTAACTAGATCAGGTTGCTCACAGCCCCATCCAACCTGGTCTTGAATGTTTCCAGGGATGGGGCCTCCACTACCTCTCTGGGCAACCCGTGCCAGTGTTTCACTACCTTCATTGTAAAGAATTTCTTCCTTATATCCAATCTAAACCTACTGTTTCAGTTTAAAACCATTACCCCTTGTCCTGTCACAGCTGTCCCTGCTAAAAAGATTTTTCCCCTCTTTCCTACAGGCTCCCTTTAAGTACTGAAAGGCCACAATCAGGTCTCCCCGCAGCCTTCTCTTCTCCAGGCTGAACAAGCCCAACTCTCTCAGCCTTTCTTCATAGCAGAGGTGCTCCAGCCCTTGGATCATTTTTGTAGCCCTCCTCTGGACCCGCTCCAACAATTCCATGTCCTTCTTGTGCTGAGGGCTCCAGAGCTGGATGCAGTACTCCAGCTCTTGCACCACTTGGCACCAAACCTATACCCAAAAAGTTTCTTTTCTCCGATACTCATTGACTATGCCACAGAGGTGGGGCTGCATGTTGGAGTTCTCAACCATAAGTTCAAGAGGCAGAGAAGCTGCTTTTCCATGGCCAACGGGGCATGTAGCAGACTACAAATATTCAGAACTAAATAGGGGAACACTGAGTAAAGAAGGAATTACTTAGGATGTCCATGGGTATTAAAACAGTCAGGTGGCTGAATAAAATCATAAAGAAAGGAAAAAAAAGAAGTGTAAATGTCAGGAAAAGAAAATTTCCTCAATGTCATTTCTGGGTGGCTGCTAATAGGGTAACAGGGCCAACTTTCACGAGGGACAGAGAAACGCTGACAAAAAGCAATGGGAAATGAACTATGACCTATAGCACATTGGCACAGAGGTGATACTGACCCTTACAGAGGTGTGAACCATCTTTTGCATTTCTAGTTTTAATAGTTCCACATTCCCACAATAATCAGAAAACATAAAAGAAATGCTGGTGTAGAAGAGTGACAGGTATAGCAATACTCTCATGAAAAAAATTGACACAGATCAACTCCAGAAAGCTTCCAAATGTACCTGATGTGTGCATTACAATGGAAGGTTTAGGTGTTCATTCCCGGGCATTGACTTATAGGTGTGTGAGGTGGTCAGACTTGGTTTCCCTTGCACAGAGAACCCTACGATACACCTTGTGCACGTGCATGTGATGTCTGGTGAGGACTAAGGAATCAAATCCCTTCAAGTTAGATCAGTGAGACCGATGATCCAAAATAACTTTCCTTCTTTATCTTGTTACAGCCTTGTGACACACTTTGTAGCATCTGTTTTTCCTCTTCCTTGCATAGCTAAGCCATAATTTCCTTAATATAAGTTGATGGAGCCAGCTATCACATTACCAAAATGCCCACAAGACTGACATCCCAGCCCTGTGCCAGGCATGCCTCGCATCGGGTGCATTCTTTTGGAAAACTGCTTCCCCAGCTTGTTTACCCCAGATGACCTGCTACTGCTGTGTGGTGTAAAGTGGTGGAGGCAGGCAGAGGAATAGCCCACTTAACTGTTAAAATTAATTTCAATTATTTTTTGTCATTTACATAATCTAAAAGTAAAATTCAGACCCGATTCTGATGACCATTTCCTTTACCTCCTGACTTGCTGGAATGTGGAATAAGAAATGTGTAGAACATGCTTTTGGTACTGACAGCTAGCATGGGCACATGGTCTTCAGACCAGTATTTAGTAACAAAATTGCCCCATTATTTCACCTTGAAGATTTCTGTGAACTTAGAGGTATAACTGTGAGCGATAACAAAGAATGCCTATTCTAAGTTAATCTTTGGAGCAAAGTGTTCTTTATGCTTATCACAATGCGGAAGAAACAGCTCTACCAATATTCAAAATACGTAGTTTCTATCAAGGAGTAATTAGCACAAGTCAACAACCGCCCCGATACTACCATCCTGTCTGCTGAAAGTAGATAGCATCTAATAAATAGCCACTTTTTATGTATTAATGAGGGGCAGGCTTTTGTGGTAAGGAACCTCTGCTCTCCAAAGAGACAAAGCAGTTCCTTTATACAAGCAATCCTTCAATTTTTTTGATATTGAAGTCTGAAGGCACTGAACGCTTACAAGTTGTAGCAAAACAAATTGACAAATAGATGTAATTACGATAGAGGAATGAAGCATAAAGCCAGCTGGAGAGCTATGTGGAGGGGGCTGCAGCAGGGCCACCTTCCTTCGCCCCACTCCTACTCGAGAGCACCGGGGGGTGCAGTACTCACGGGAGTAGCCGGCAGTCGTGCCCTCCGGTGCCCTCGGGAAGTTTTCTCTGTCGGTTCCGGCAGTAAGAGACAGGGACCGCGTGTCCGAATCCGGGGAATTCGTTCTGGTGTCCATATCCCCTTTCAGAATAAGCCAGCTGGTCTTTAGCTGGAGAGAGTAAAAGCCTGTTACAAGATTCAGGATTTAACACCTGAATGCAGTTCCCCTGCTTCCCCCATCTGGGAAGTCTTGTGAACTGATTGCAAGTTTATGCTCATTGCCACTTGTACCATTCTTTATCAGATTATAAAAGCTGACTATATCCTGACTTAGACATCACAGCTACCAAAATCTTTTAACTTTCAGCTGGGCTGAGGACAGTTTCTCTGTTAATTAAGCTGCCCACTGCTCCCCACTTTAGAAGATGCACTATGTAATTTTCTTACAATTAAACTGCTGTTAACATTCTTCTTGTATTTAATATGCACCCTAAGTAAAAGTGCGCAGGCTTAGCTGAATCACCAATGTATATATTGAGACTGAGTGAAAATCCATGAGCTTATTGCTCTTAATCTCAATATGCCTATTTCTTTCTTTACTGTAGGATGTAGATTCTAAACCCTCTGGGTGAGAGTTTAAGCTTTTCTATATCTTCTTGGAAAGGCCGAAAAGTAGTAATGATTATTTCAGTTATATGAAAGAATACTTTTACGTAGGAACATGTTTTAAAAAACAGGTGCTTCAAGAAAGAACAATAAACTACTCCCTTTGGTCTTTCTGATCATTACCTTCTTACTGTCCTGATCCAAGCTTCCATCCTCCCCTTCTGATCTTCTTGCTGCTGGAAGATTAAGTTAATTTTTAAAATTAGAACAGATTTCATCTTTTTTTGTCTTCTGCTCTGACTGTGGTTATATTCCAAATAATTTTAGGAGGGAAAAAATATTTTAAAAAAACAGAGCTGGGCAGAAAATTTGATGTGTAGAGCTACAGTGTCACAGTTAAAATCATTCTGAAATCATTACAGTAATATTCATCCTTCAGGCATACAGCGAATTTAGACAATATATTCCT